TTCTAACTTCTTTCTGTTAATTTCAGCTTGTTTTGCTCCTTTCAGCTGTTTTTCTGCTGTTTTGTGCCCCTTTCAGGATCTTTCTACATTTTTGTGCTTGTTCTAACTTCTTTCTGTTAATTTCAGCTTGTTTTGCTACTTTCAACTGTTTTTCTGCTGTTTTGTGCCCCTTTCAGGATCCTTCTGTTAACTAAAACATTTTTGGGCTTCTTATAACTTCTTTCTGCAAATTTCAGCTTTTTCTACTATTTCAGCTACTATATAACTGTTTTATGCTAATTTAAGCTTTTTCAGCTAATTCAACATTTTTTTTACACTCATTTAAACTTTTTTCAGTCTAATTAAGCAAAATTCTTCTCTCTCAACTTCCTTCTTGTAATTTCAGCTTCTTCCTGACTTTTTAGCTAATTTTCAGCAGGTTTTTTTGTGCTAATTTCAGCTTTTTTCAGATAATTTCCACATTTTTGTGCTCATTTCTACTTCTTTCAGCATAATTGGGAAACCTTGTTCTTTCTGCTTTCTTATGCAAATTTAAGCTTGTTCTACGTTTTCAGCTACCCTTTAAGCTAATTTTAGCTGGTTTCAGACAAATTCAAGTTTATCATGGTAATTTCTGCTACCTTCAGCGTAATTAACTTCTTACTGCTAGTTTCAGCTCGTTATGCTACTTTCAGCTTATTTCTGCTAGTTTCAGTTATTTCGGCTACTATTTAGATGTTTAATGCCAATTTTAGCTTTTACAGCTAATTCTAAATTATTTTAGCTCATTTCATCTCCTTTCAATTCCTTCTCATAGTTTAAGCTTCTTTCTGTCTTTTCAGCTACTTTTCAGCTTTTTTGTTGTTGCTAATTTCAGCTTTTTTTTTAGCCAAGTTCCTAAATTTGTGCTTATTTCTGCTCATTTAAACCTAATTCAGCAAATGTGTGTTATTTCTTTTTTCTCCTGCTAACTTAGGCTTGTTCTTCCATTTCAGCATATTTTAGCTAATTTTAGCTGTTCTTCAGCAATAAGCACTCGCACTGTATTTTTGCAGGAAATGCAACTTCTCTAGTTTTGATTATTTATTTATGCAGTGCACTTTGATTGGTGAAAAATGAAAATCATACAGAGCTTTGACAAGAACAAAGGTGTGTAAAATAGAACATTCAGGAGAAAAACACGTATAAATTCAAACTGAACAGATAAACGAGTCAACTGTTTCAGATACGAGTAAAAAAATACTTTAGTTTAAAGCGGAAGTCAAACCAGGTTACCCGATATTTCTGCAGGATTTCAGCAAACTGAGCTGCGTTTTGGGCCTTGCAGATCCGTTCGTTCTCCTGGTTCAACTGAGCCTCGGTTCTTTTCAGCCAGGCCTCCAGGTCAGACAGCAGCTCCAGCGGCGGCTCTGCAGCCGTCAGACGCTAACGGACATAATTCAACAGGGAGGAACGTAAAACAAGTCTACCTTTTGTAGGTTTTTAATTATTTTCAAGCCCTTTAAAGTGAGTAATCGTTCATTGAACATCTGTTCTATTCTAATAAGATCCACAATATTAAATCTCTGGAAGATAAGATCTTTTCATCATCTGCTGGAGTGATTTCCACTTTTAAAAGACATCGATTTAAACCATCTGGATGGAAGAAACTGGCAAAATCAGCTTATTAAAGCTCTGCCAAATATCTGTTTCCATTCGCTGGTGATGGATGGTGAGGAGAAATAAGGCATGACCTTCCTCTCCACTCCCTCCCCTCTTCAGTCGCCACAAAAGGGATTTCAGAAGGGTTTGAGTTTATACTCCCCTCACTGGAGAAGATCTAATTATTTCTGAAAACAAACAGCACTTCCTTCTGGATCTCTAACGTTTCAGTGGCTTCGCGTTGTGCTGCAGTTTCAACTTCTTATTATCAAAAGTTAAAAGGATATTTTCCCCAAACACAAAAAAACGTTGCACCTGCTGCAGCCGGTCTTGACTCCTGGAGAGGTCAGAGGTCATTTGGCTGCAGCCGACCTCCATCTGACTGATCTGGGTTCTCAGCTTGGGACAATCTGCTTCCCTCAGGTGGAGCAGCTCAGTGGCGTCTTTTGATACGGACTCCCACAGCTCTGAGATGGTCTCCAGCTCCATAGAGAAGTCCTGGAAAAGAAAACGAGTCAGTCCGGCCCAACTCAGATCTGTATTGTTAGTGGGTGTTCATCTGTCTGTCTGTCTGTTAGCAAAATATCTCATGAACCACTTGATGGATTTCAATGAAACTCTCAGAGAGTAATCATAGGATAAGCATCTTTAACTGAATACGTTTTACAGTCATCACAATCAAAGATGGCTGCCACAACCAACTGATATTAGCCAGTACAAAAATCGCTATAACTCTCTCAATTTTACAAGTTTTGGACTAAAATTTGATGTGGTAGTAGCTGAGAGTAGGCCTCTCTCAATACACAATCAATCAATTAATCGCATGATAAATGAAAATTATCAACCTCATTTTCATTTATCGGCTTTATCGTTCCTTTGTGTCTCTCTCCTTCTACTGAAGACACTGGATGACAAAAGGCTCAATTCCGGTGCTCTTCACTGACCCATCCCTTTCTCTTTAAAATCTGTTTTAACCGTCCAAAATCACGTTTTTGGAATTGGGGGCCGAGATGGTGTAGTGGCAGGGCAGCCGGCTTGGGACCAGAAAGTCCCAGGTTCGATCCCCAGTCACTGCACATCACGTGGTGTCTCTGGGCAGCACACCTCATCCCCAAAATGCCCCCCGGCGCTTTCAATAGCTGCCCACTGCACCACCTGGTGGTGGATGGGTTAAATGCAGAGACTAATTTCGCCATTGTATGGAAACATACAGTGCTGACATTGTGATGACATTATTATTATTAAAAGCAGCTAAGCTGAGAAGCTAAGCTACGAGCTAAGCTAACAGGCCGACCACAGGGAAAAAACCTCCGTCTCGTCGAAGCTACAGAATTCACGGATAAAACCCATGCCTTTGTCTAAAAAGTTGTTTTTCTCTGCAAAAAGAAGCTGAGAACTTGTTTACTGATTGTTTTTATTAAAAGCTTTGTGTGAAAAACGCTATGCTAAAGAGCTCAAGCTACACCGAGCGTCCGCCATTTTGAGAACCAAAAAAAAAAGGAAGGAGAGACAGCCCATCTCACATCAAGGGGCCTCCCTCACAATTTTTTTAACCTCCTAGGACCTGGCAACCACATATACAAGAGTTCGGGTCTTAGGAGGCTAAAGAGACACGCTGCTCGCTCCCTCACTATCCATCCATCAGTTCAAACAGTCTTATACTGCCGTCTGGTGGTCAAAAAAGGTACTACATACAAAACAAATGAAAACATTCCTTCCTAAATTTGACAATAATTACTAATGTCAAATTTCAAACAATATTATCGTTTATCGCAATAATTTCTGAGACAATTAATCGCCCAGCAACATTTGTTATCGTGACAGGCCTAGCTGGGAGTCATCCCTAACACGGACTCTGCACACACGCCTCCCAAAAGCACGAGTTCGTGCGTGACGGCGTTTACGAGGTTTGACCTGAACAGCTACTACTCCATCACTTCCCAACATCTGATAACCGATTGCAACACGGGATGAAAGGCAGCAGGTGATACGCATTTCTTTAACGAACTGTCACATTCTCTGTGCAAACTTTGGCTCGTCTAGTTTTAGTATTCGAGTCACGTTTCTTTACTCGCTGACTCAGGATGAGATTATAAAACATGATCGCTGTGATCTGAAAGACGTGTTGCTCAACCTGCCTACACTGACGTTCTGCTGCAACTCAAGAGACGTTACAGCCCGCTCTAATGATCCAACAAATTTTGGGCATTTAAACGGACTCCCTTGTGTTTGATCAAGAGTGGATGAGCGGCTCACCAGCAGCTGAACCAGACTTCTTTGAAGGCTCTCCTGACTCAGCTCGGAGGAATCTGCCAGGCCCGACAAAGTCTTCAGGTGTTTGCTGGCACCGAGCAGACGCTGGCTGACCAAAGAGAAGTCAGTCTGGAATCTGTGGGGAGGATGAGGAAAAGCAATCGATCACCCGGTGGGGCAGAACGTGACTGGACCCTCAGACAGAGGGAAGTTCAGCAGGCGTTCAAAGGAGAAAATGAAGATGGGGGGGAAAAAAATAAAACAGCACGTTGATGGAAATTCAAGAATCTGAGAAAGTATAAAAATGTGATTCAGCAAACTAAATCCCAGGAACCAACAAAGTCCATGTGCAATAATCCAGGTATACAATCCAACAATTTCCAGTCAGGTCATCTGGACGGTTTCTTTTTTTTTTTTGTGCTGAAACGTTTCACCTTCCATCCAGAAGGCTTCATCAGTCATGGAAACGTTTCAGCACAAAAAAATATATATATATCCCAGGAAACATTTGTAGCATTTGGTTTAAAAACTTGATAAAGAAAACGTTCATTTGTAAAAATGTCCCATTGAGCAGGAGAAACATAAACGTGGTAACACAACGGGCTTCACAGTAAAAACAACAAGAATGACAAAAACAGCCTTTTCATTTAAACCACTTTATTTACCTTATGACTCAAACCACAGACTAGTGCCTACCTGGCTCTTCTGGCCTGGATGTCTTTAAAACGGTGGATCTCCTGCTCCGTCCTCCTGTAGGCGCTTCTCCATCGCAGCTCCAGAGCGCCCCCTGCCTGAGCCACGGAGGCGGAAAAGCACGGCTCCGCCTGCAGCAGCTTCTTCTGGTCCAGCAGCGTTCCCAACAGAACTCCACCCTCTTCAAGCTGGAGCAGAGCTCGCTGTGGGAAACAGAACGATCCGTGTTTACAGCGAGAGACCTTCCAACATACCATCGCCTCTGGATTGACAAATATAAGAACAAACAAAGCTAAAAGCTCTTAGAGGAAAAAAAATCTAAACCACTGCTCGAAGGAAACGCCAGAAGTCCAGGACAGTCTCAGCATCTTCTGCTTTGAGTGCAGCAGTTTGATCCTTTTAGTGCCAGCATGAGTTTGTGTCGCCTCAAGGTTCTTTATTGTTATTCGCATCACATGTGGTGCATGAGGTGGAACAAAATTGTGTTCCCAAGGTCCCAGTTACATCCAAAAAAAGCAAAAATATAAAGAATCAAAAGGAAAGAGTATTCAAGGATCTAAGATGTACGTTAAACTATAATAATGTGTATTAAACAGCAGCCTGAACATTACGTACTATTACTACAACATGCATTACTTTACAGTAAAAAAAACAAAAGTTTATTTTGTGCACAAGCAAACATTCAACAAATCAAAAAGATATTCTTACTCCAAGCTCATTCGGCTCACCGTAACATTCATGGTGACGAGTTTGTTTGGGAAATTTAACTTATCAGCTGCCTCTTGATGGGATGAAAATACAGAATAATAAAGATGAATCTTATATGATCTGATTCATTTACTATTAAAAGTAAAAACAAAATGAGAGAGATTGAATTTAAAATATCTGAGATTAATAAATCTACTTTTTTTTATCTCAGAGGGAAGGGACACAGAGAAATGGAAGGACAGATAATCTGTAAATTATTTTAGCTGATTTCTTGTTGTAGCATCGTTAGCACACTTGATTTAAAAAAAAAAAAAGTCTCCCAAATACTCTTTAGGAATATAAGACATGCTCTGTAAACTGGCTGTTGTGACAATATATTTGTTAAAGTAAATAAAGCAATAAATAAACAAAACTACATATGTTTATTTTATGTTTTTATGTCCAAGGTGGACAAAAGGAAGAAGCAGGATTAGATAATGGATGGATGGATGGATGGATGGATGGATGGATGGATGGATATTTTTGGAGTCTTTAAGATTCAGTCATGTTCTGGAAACACAACTTAAAAAAATAAAATAAAAATAAAAAATCATTGTATTTTAATCCAATCATTTTCAAAGTTTTGTCCATTATGTTTAATTTCAGCCTCCTCAAGTTTTATTGGTAGAAAATATAAACTTTTGTTTTTAATTAAGGATACTGGGGGCCGGACAGAAATTGTCCAAGGGCCACTTTTGGCCCATGGGCCATATGTTGCTCATGTCTGATCCAAGAGTGTATGGCTGTAATATTTATTGTGCATGATGATCACTACATGTATAAACAGGGTTATCAAACTATCAGTATTTCAATTGTTATATTAAATGCCCTTTGTTTTCCGTGTTATTGCTGCTTTTATTTAAAAAGTTAGGATTCAAGATTAAAAAACAAAGAGTTTACACACCAGAACATTTCCTTTCTCATATGAGATTTTACAATTCAAATGAAAAGTGTGGCATTCCAGGCTTTTAAATTGCATTGAGGTGCTAAAATATGATAGGAACTCACTTATAAGGCATTCAACTTACCATATTTTTTGGACTATAAGACGCAGTTAAAATCCTTTAATTTTCTCAAAAATCGACAGTGAGCCTTATGTATTAATTCTGGTTGTGCTTCTGACCTTGAACTGATTTTATGTGATAAACAATGTTGAGAGTTACTGTGAATGAGTTGAATAAAGTTTGACTTATCTGACTGTTTTGTTTCGCTTAATGTGCCTTATAGTTAAAAAAATACGGTATAAAATCCCCTAAGTTGAGCTGCTTTTAACCCCTAAGGGCGTGCCATGTCCTACACATGAGGTGTGGATTATAAAAACTTTCATTTTCTCTTCCGGCATCTTAAAGATATGTTTTCTGAAATGTTTGTGGACTCAGAAGATGCTGAGGTTCTCTGATTTATTAGTATTTGCTAAAAGTGGTCATGTTTTCTGTTTGTTCCCACAAATATTGTGAGTCGTAAAAAATGTTCTCTCCCCGTTTTATAGTTTTGTGAACTTCTGTTGGGTTTTCTCTTGCTGGGTTTTGTAACTTTTGGGCCACAGTTTCAATCAGAAGTAGTAAATCGACGTAAGGATATTTTATTTAACCAAATGGAAAGAGATGTGCAGCTAAATCGATGATCAGAGCTACAGGAAGTACCTCGCAGGCTTCTAGTCTGCTCTGAACCGCCTCTTCCTCATCATCATGTCCCTCCGGTTCTTCACCACTAATAAAGGCTTCAGACTCCTCCAACACTCGACCCAGTCGACCACAAACATCCTCCCAGCAGATCCAGTCCTAAAGCAAAGCCCACCACAAACCAGTACAATTATCATCTGATTATTTCAGTGAAATCCCTGCACAGGAAAGATACAAATAAAAATGCACATTTCTGAGCGCATGAGCTTATTTGGCCCTGAGCAAGCAAACATTACAAACCTGGAGCCTCTTCTCAGAAGCCACTTCCTGCTCCAGAGCCTGTTGCTGGCGTGCTTTAGCCCGGACTTCCAGCTGCATCCATTCATGCTCTTGACCTTTGAGTGCATCGGGTTCCCGTTGGAACAGATACCGAAGGAAAGACAGCTGGGACCTGAGGACCTGCAGGAGTTTCTGCACAGCAACATAACAGATTTATAACAGTTGAAAATCTGTATCACTAATCAAAAACTTCATGGAAACCCCCTCAAACTCTGCGTAAAGTTACTTAAACCTGGACTTTGCTGCATGTTGGAGAAGTTCTTGAAAGCCTAATGAGATACCTTGTGTCTGCAGAGAACAGCTTGAAGTTTGCTGCGGTTGGGAGCTTGGCCCGTCCGTCTTTCTAGTAAACATTCTCCCATTTCCAGAAGGCAAGCTATCCCCTGAAGCAAGGACTGAGAGGCGTTTTGTAGCTCCACGTTTTCCCCGGTACTTCCTCTCAGATGTCTGCCCAGCGCACACTGCAGGGATAAACACGAGCGGCAAAGAGGTTAAGCTGAATTTGATTCTTGTTTGAAACACAGATTTGACGTATTCTCTTAAGAGCGTATTTCCACATTAGCTGTACTTTTAGAAATCACTAGAAACAGGTAAGGGGTTTCCTGGGATGCTAGTAATGTTCACTTCATGCCCTGTGGGTTGAAGTGCGAGCTCTTCGTGGACTGAACTCGCTTCAGCCACATCACGTCCCTTCAGGATGGAGTCTGAAGACCAGGTTTGTGTTCTCTTAACCATTCAGAAACAGATTTTAGGAATCAATGCTGTCTTGTTGAGAAGTGGCTGCTGCTGTGGAAGAGTTGTTGCCATGTGGCAAAACTAGTTCACAAATGTTTTTTGGTAGGTTGAAATTCTCAAAGTAACAAAAGATGCAGGTTATACATCAAGTCAGCAAAAATGACCTTTCCCCACTATTCTTACACCTGATTTTTAATTTCCTTTTGTGCACCTCTACATTGTGTTCAACACAATGGCTCTTCTTCTAGTTAATTAATTGTCAGCAATGGTGTACCACAAGGCTCAGCCTTAGGACCCACTCTCTTTACAACTTTTTCATTCATTCAACCTTTATTTATACAGGCTAGCCTCACTGAGCCACAGGGACTCATTTGAGGACCTGTTCCAGACAGAACATATAAAATACAGACAACAAAACAGTAAACAATAATAACAATAAACTAGAGTAAAAGAATGAAGTTCAAATACGAGTAGTGTATAAACAAAACATCAGGGTGCTGTCAAACAGGGAGAAATACTAAAAACAAGAACATATTTGCCTTAATTTTTCCATTGACATTACAAAATGTTTGAACCCCCTTAAATAAATCAAGGAGGACAAGGTGGAATTTATATAAATAATGTAGGTCAGAACATTCCACATGCACTTCTATGCTGACGATACAGTTGTTTATTGTCAAGCTAAAACAGTTGCTAAGGTTTTCCAGCTTCTACAGTCTGCATTTGATATCATTCAGTCAGATTTGTTCCATCTCAAATTGGTGCTAAATGCTGATAAAACCAAAGGGATGCCGTTTTCAAACAGCAAGTCTGTCCCAGCAGTCCTTCCTTCCATCTATGAACGGTGTTCCTATTGAGTTTGTGGATTCTTACAAACACTTGGGAATCTTGTTCGATGCACATCTCCCTTTTAAGTCGCATGTTGACAACTTGACAAAGAAACTAAAATTAAAACTGGGGTTCTTTTTCAGAAATAGATCCTGTTTAACTCTGAATGCTAGAAAACGCCTTGTAACCGCTACTTTCCTTACCAGCCATCGATTATGGTGAACTTATTTACATGAATGCCCGTGCCAGCTGCTTGCAGACGTTGGATGCTCTCTATCATGATGCGCTAAGATTCATAACTAGTTGTAACTACCATATTCATCACTGCACCCTGTATTCACTGATCAGTTGGTCATCAGTAACTTCACGAAGACTCTCTCACGGATACATTTTCATCTACAAATCACACCTTGGTCTGCTGTCTTCTTAGATCTACGCCTACATGTCACGTCGTCAGTGCAGTTACAGCGTGCGCTCTCAAGACATTACCTGCAGCGTCCCTTCAGTGCGGACTGTACTCAGAAAAAAGGCCTTTTCTTACTCTGCTCCTGGAACACCTTATAAAAAGATCTGAAGCTGTCCACTTTGACCTCTCTGAGGGATTTTAAACAATTGATAAGGTCAGTGGAAGAATCAACGCAGACATGTTCCTGTTTTAAGTATTTTACAACGTTTTATAATGTAGCTTGATTTTATTTTGTTTTATAACACTACTTTTTATTTTATGGCTGTTTATTGTTGTATGTACCTCATCTTTGTTTAAAGCTGGTCTCTCTTGTAAATGAGTCCTCATGACTCAATGAGGCTAACGTGTATAAATAAAGGTTAAATGGATGAATAAGTTCTTGTCACAAGTGGAAGATTAGTTATTTGTTTTATTAAGTCTATGAAAAGTTAAACTCATTCCTTGAAGGAATGCATATCACTCGCTGCCTCTCGTGCCAGAGTTGTAGCCGTTTTGGTCGAACCTTCAAAGTAACATCTTGCACAGTTTCATGAAAGGTGGACTGCCATTAAAAATTATAGCTTTATACTGTATCTGCATATTTAGCTGTGGTGGTCATCTTGAATTGAGTTGACTCCAAAAGTTAATCGATTGTAGACGTATATCCAACAATTTCTTCCTAAAGCTTTCATTAAAACCCTTCCAGTGGTTCATAAGATATTTTGCTAACAGACACACAGATAATGACCAAGTTTTAAACAAAAATACTGCAATATGTTTTGCTCTGAGAACCTGTTAGGGATCATGTGTAGCTACTACCGCACCGAAATTTAGCTCACCGTCAGATTTCTTTGTGCCTTACATCCATTTTTATGTTGGTAAAGACTGAATAGCTGTGGCGGCCATCTTGAATTAGGGTAACTTCAAACGATAAACAGTTGTAGACACACTACCATGGATTTCTTTCTGGAAGTTTCTCTAAAATTAATTTAATGGATAATGAGTTGTTTTGCTAACACTACATACAAATGAGCTGTGCCAACACACAATAAATATTTGCCTTCGTCTAAACATGTGGAATAAATAACACGAATAGTAAATAATAGTTACCTCCAAACTAGGAACCTCCTTTAGATTTGGGAAGATCCGACTCAGACCCGTTTCAAATTCATCCAGCAGACACAGAATGTTGGAGGAGAATGCCTACACCATGCAGGGAAATAGACATTTATTTTTATAAACAACGGAGAGTTTTAGCTTCACCTTTCAGTGATAAATACTGTCGGCACAGAAGAAGGAATTTGTAACTTTCCTCTTCAGGAACTAATAATGTGTTGATGGCAAATTTCAATTCAGATTCTCAGTTTGTTTTAACCTGATTTTGGTTCTGCAGGTCTGAATCTTCAACCTCATGATTGTTGGAGGAGTCGAGGACACGCTGGACGGTACGAAGACAGTCCTGAAGGCTCGTCAGACAGCGGTGAGCTTCTGGCTCTTCCCTGAAGAACGTAGGTGTGATCGCTGAATCCACTTTCCTCAGCAGCTCTGCTAAAGTTCTCAGCTGAGCTGATACACACTGTGTAAGAATGTAAACAAGTCTAAAAGAGTGGTTTTATGAAGTGAAAACACCACAAAACGATTGTTTATTTTCATTTTGTCTTTAAAACTAATTCATTTTATATTCTATAAAGTCAGATTTAGATGTTTGGTCACCCAAACTGTCACTGTGTGCTTATTTTAAAACAACTTTAAGAAGTCACCTGTTTGTGCAGCAGCCTCAGCTGAGAGTCATGTTGAACACCAGCACACAACAGAACGTCTGGTACAGAGTCCAAACAGTCATGGATCCTTTGTGCAGCTTCGTACAACTCTGTCACAGCAGGACGAGAACGGTCTGGACCTTCGGCCTGGGAATCATCAAACATGACAACCACAGTTTTATTTTCTAAAATGAAAAGCATAAAATGAAAATTTGTATTTTGAAGAATGTTTATTCAAAAAACAGTAAAAAGAAGAGAAAAAAAAATCAAACAATCTAAATGCAGCGCTTGAAAATGCAGTGTGAATGCTTTTTGCTGAAGAATTTGCTGAAAAGCAGCTGAAATTAGCTAAAAACGTGCTGAAATGTAGCTGAAATGAAAGAACAAGCAGAAGAAAGAACACGTTTATTTTGCAGAATTAGGTATAAATTAGCAGAAATTAGCACAAAAATGAGGAAATTAGCTAAAAAAAAAAGTTAAAATTAGTAAAAACAATAGCTGAAGAGTAGCTGAAAAGGCACAAAGTAGTTTAAACTACCAGAAGGAAGCGGAGACCTGAAATTAGCTAAAAAATGTTGAATTAGCTCAAAAACCTTAATTTAGCATAAAACAGCTACATATTAGCTGAAATAGGAGAAAAAGCCAAAATTAGCAGAAAAAAGCTAAAAGGAGCATAACAAGCTGAAATTACCACAAACAAGTAAATTGAAGGTTGAAAGTAGCAAAAAAAAATTACCATGAAAAACTTGAATTTATCTGAAACCAGCTCAAATTAGCTAAAAATGTTAGAAATGTAGCTTAAAAGGTCGAACAAGATTCAATTAGCAGAAAAAAGCAGAAAGAACACTTTTGCCCCATCAGGTTGAAAGTAGAAAAAAGTGAAAATTATCTGAAATAAGCTAAAAGTAGCATAAAACAGCTAAATAGCTTCAGAAATAGTAGAAAACGCTGAAAGTAGCAGAAAGAATCTAAAAAAGTGAAGTCAGGTCCTCTGGACGGGTTCAGAGGACCTGACTTCACTTTTTTAGATTTTCTACCCGGATTATTGAGCATGCATCAGGGTAGCAGAAAGAAGTCAGAAGAAGCACAAACATGTTGTAGTTAGCAGAAAGAATCTGAAAGGAGCATCGAACATCTGGGAAAAAACAGCTGAAAGTAGCTGAAAAAAAGTTTAATTTTGCAGAAGGAAGCTGAAAGAAGCTGAAGCAGAACAAAATATGAAAGGAGCAGTAAAAGGTTGTGAACACATCTAAAGATATGAAGGATGTAAAATGAGCTCAGTTCATTTTCTAACAGAAAAAAACGGCAGAAAACGCTAAATAATTAAAAAAGCTAAAGTTGCAATACAAGCAATAGTGCGAATGCTTCATAAGCGTTCACACAGTTAGCCTGAAATATACGTGAGTGTTGAAACTGTTAAAACGCAGCTCTTGTTGATCTTTACGTTTAAGTTTGGAAGTTGCTCAACGTCTGACTCACTGCTTTGGTCACAAATGTTATATCTCTGCTCTACAAACCGTTCGTCTCAGCACGATGATGGATCTGTGGATTTTCTGCAGGACTGAAGAAATCGATTCGGTCGACCTCGGCTCCTTTTCTTGAACCTGGACACAAAAAGAAAAACCAGCAGCATCTGGTTATTTCAAACACGCTTGCCTTGGTTAACAATTTATATTCTGTTTATTTGTTGTAGTCGAATCTTATTCAGTGCCGCAACTATAATTAATAATAATAATAATAATTTCAGGCAATAGTACTTGTGTAAAATGTTGCACGTAAAAACATGGGAGGGTTTGCACAGATATAAAGACTAAAAACTGAACCGTTGCCATGGTGATGTTGGTAATTATTCAAAGTAGTGAGTCATAAAAGTCATTTTTCTTATTTTACAGCTTCCTTCTCAGTCTTGGTCTGAATGTTTACGTTTCCTTTTCAGAAATCTAAAGTAACATCCGATCTTTAAGCATTTTTTTAATCACTTTCCTACCTTCTCACGAGTCCCTCCATCTTCTGTGCGTTGCTGTTCCTCCAGAACATTTCTCAAAAAGTTGAGTTTTTTTAACGTCTGAGAATGAAGCCGAGACCAGCTTCGGCTCGCTACATCCTCCTCTTCAGGTCCTGCAGAACTGCAGAACAAACAAAACACTTGAGTGTTCTGTACGAAGACAGAAGTCATGTTTCCACCTCATGGCACATCAGGAAACACTGCATCAACCTTTCCTCTCTAACCCCGTTAAAGAAACAGGTGGTCACTAATGTGGGAGTGAAAACGGATCCTTCTATGAAACTAACCCGTCGTGTAAACACGATTGTTAGATCCTGTTTTATTCAGTTGAGGCGACTGTCTATAGACTGAAGCCCATACTGTCCAAAAGTAATCTTGAGACAGTAAAACATGCGTTCATAACATCCAGGCTCGATTAATGCAAGTGTGCTTCTGTTTGGGATCAGTCAGACCTCCACTGCACGATTACAACTGGTTCAGGCAAAAGAGAGCACATTTCTCCAGTTCTGGCGTCCCTTCACTGGCTCCCGGTTCACTTTCAAATTCATTTTTAAAATCCTTCTGTACGTTTTTAAATCTCTGAACAGTTCTAGCCACTCTTATCTCTCTGATCTGCTGCAGCCATATGTCCCACAGCGGTCAGCAGACCAGATGCTTTTATTGGCTACAGGCACTCGTTTCAAGCTCAAAGGTGACGGGACCTTCTCTGTTGCAGGTCCAAAACTGTGGAAGGAGTTACCACTGCATATCAGACAGGCTCCCTCAACCACCGTGCTTGAGTCTCGTTTAAAAACTCACTTTTATTCCCCGGCTTTGGACACTGTGCGAGTTGATTTTAACTTGCATGTTAGGCTGATTGGCAACTCTAAATTGTCTCTAGGTGCGAGTGAGAGAGTGAATGGTTGTTTGTCTCGTTTGTCTCCCCGTGATGGACTGGAGACCTGTCCAGGGTGTCCCCTGCCTCTTGCACAGTGATAGCTGGACATGGGTACCAGTGACCGCCGTGACAAAGAAAAAAAAAAGAAGTGGGTAAAGATGATGGATGGATCAAAGCCAGTGCTCAATAATACAGGTATAAAATCCAACACTGTTCAGTCAGGTCATCTGGACAGTTTTTTTTTTTTGTGCTGAGACGTTTCACCCTCCATCCAGAAGGCTTCATCAGTCTGAGGAAACACCAAACAAAACTGCTTCTCCCCCAACAACGTACTCCAAAGTGGAAAAAACCAGTTATATTGGTGCTAAGATGGCCTCTGGGGCACACCCTCTCCCTCATCGACAGTCATGTCAAACTGGTTCAAAACACCAGATGACCTGACTGAGTGTCCAGTCCAAAAAAATCCAACACGGGTCAGTCAGGTCATCTGGTGTTTTGAACCAGTGTGACATGACTACTGACGAGGGAGAGGGCGAACAGCGGAGGAGAGAACGTGCCCCAGAGGCCATCTTAGCACCAACGTAACTCTTTTTTTTTCTTCCACTTTGGAGTAAGATGTTGGGGAGAAGCAGTTTTGTTTGGTGTTTCCTCAGAATGATGAAGCCTTCTGGATGGAGTTATTCTATAATGTTAGTTATTTAGTGTCTTATCTTTAACTCTGTGGATGTACGTATTTTATCCTGTGTCCTTTGCTTGTTTGTTTTTGCTGTACAGCACTCTGGTTGGTTTTGTTGCTGTTTATAAGTGCTTCATAAATAAAGTGGTCTGGTATGGCATGGTATGGCATGCCTGGAAAACAAGCGTTGCAGAAGTAGTTTTCCTTAATCCGTTACCTGACTGCTGATTCAACAAACTCCTCAGGTTGCTGGGACCCTTCTAACAAACTGATGCTGACTTCTTGCTGAAGCCAGACGTTCTGAAGCATAAAGAGGAAAAACAAACAAATCAAAAAAATTAAACTTGGGAGTTCAAAGTGAATTCAAATGTAACAAGATGGAGTCTTTACGCTCACCTGATCTGAAAGAGGATGTGTGAACATGGACAGATGTTTGTTTTCCTCTTCTTTGAGCTTTTCTGATGCTTCTTTGAATGAAGTTATGGGTCTCAAAGGACTCAACTTTGTGTCCTCCAACAGAGAAGACTTTATCTGAGGGTCGATGTTTAAAATTTGCTCTTTCATTGTCTCTTGAAGGTCCGAAGCTGCAGCAACACCTTCAGGCTTTAGATTATCATTGGTTATGGTTTCAGGATTCAAAGTCTGACAGATGTCTGCTTTCACGTCTTGTGTTATTAATCCAGTTTCAGCGTTTTGAGATCCACTGCCGGTATCAAACTCGGGATTCGCAGATAAAAAGCTTGTTGCTGCATCTTTTGAACTCATCTCTGCTTCCAAACAAAAATGATGAGCCGCATTGTCCAGATCCTGAAGAACAAAATTTAGGACTTTGTGAGAAAAATCTCAAATTCTGTCAAAACTAGAGAAATTGCATTTCCTGCGAAAATGCAGTGTGAATGCTTATTGCAGAAGAACGTGATGAAAAACAGCTGAAATAAGCTGAGAAACATGTTGAAATGTAGCTGAAATGGAAGAACAATCCAAAAGTACTAGGAGAAAGCAAAAAGAGCACCTATCTGCTGAAATACGTTTAAATAAGCAGAAATTAGCACACAAATTAGTTAACTAGCTAAAACACCCTGATGAAATTAAGTAAAAAGATGTTTAAACTAACATATGGAAATGGAAAGAGCTGATAAAAGCTTAAAAAAAGAGAAGTTAGCTGAAAAAGCTAAAATTAGCACAAAACAGCTAAATAGTAGCTGAAACAACTGAAATTAGCAGAAATAAGCTGAAAGGAGCATAACAAGCTAAAATTAACAAAGAAGTTAATTAGACTGAAAGTAGCAGAAATTACCACCAAGAACTTGAATTAATCTAAAACAGCTGAAATTAGCTAAAAATGCTAAAAGCTAGCACAAGGTAGCACAAGCTTAAATTAGCAGAAAAAACATGTTTGCCCAATTAGGCTGAGAAGCAAAAATGAGCACAAAGAAATGGAAATTATCTGCAAAAATACTGACATTTGCCAAAAACAGCTAAAAAGTAGCTAAAAAAAAGCAGAAAGAAGCTTAAATTACCAGCAGGAAGTGGAAAGAGCACATTTTTGCTGAATTAGGCTGAAAACAGTTTAAATGAGTGCAAATAATGTGGACGTAGCTGAAAAAGCTAAAATTAACATAAAACAGCTAAATAATAGCTGAAAAAGCAGAAAAAGATGAAACTTGCAAAAATAAGCTGAAAGGAGCATAAGCTGAAATTAGCAGAGAGACGTTAGAAGAAGCACAAAAGTGTTGTAGTTACCAGATCTGAAAGAAGCACAAAACAGATGGAAAACACTGGTGAAAGTAGCTTAAAAAAAGTTTAAGTTTGTGCAAAGAAGCTGAAAGAAGCTGAACTAGAACAAAATGTGAAAGGAGCAGTAAAAGGTTGTAAACACATCTAAAGATTGGAAGGATGTAAAATGAGCTCAATTCATTTTGAGACAACAAATGGCAGGAAAGGCTAAATTTTTCAAAAAGCTAAAGTTGCACTAATACCAAAAGTCATAGCAGGATTGTCCTGAAAGAGCTAAACGTTTTGATTTATGATTTGTTGAAATAGCACAAAAACTGTGGAACGAGAAAGAAGCTGAAAAACGGACAGAAGAAAAATGGATCACAATAGAGTGAAGCTTCATAAACATTCTCACAATAAAGACCATACAGGTGTATCAAAGGTAAAAAAAACATCTCCAAGTACTCAGTATTTACCTTTACCTCTGTCTGCTGCTTCATTTCAGCCACATCCTCACGTTGTACATCTGAAAGGCGAAGCGTCTCCTCCACGTCCTGATAATTAAACGGAGACAGAACCCGTATTCACAGATTTATTCACGCACATGCCCGTCTGAGTTTGGGTGTGCAGAAGAAATGAAGCGTATCTGAAGAGCTTTTCAAGCAGCTGCTCTCGACAGCGACAGAGAAACAACTTGTCTCATGCAGCTTCGTTCAGCATGCAAAAAAAAAAAAAAAAAAAATCTGTCAGGAAACAAAAGTTGTGCTCAATCTGAAAATGACCAAGTGAATACAAATAGAAAAGGACGGGATAAATAGGAGAAAAGAGCCTGATGATTGTTGAGTTTCATTCCAAATGACAATCTTTAAATTGTAATTAATTGCGTCTTCTCTGAACTTTAAGGTAACGGTTTAAAGTAGGGCTCTGTAAAAAAAGAGTATAGTAAATCTTACCTGATCTACTTAAACGGCCTCAGTTTGGGGAAGAAAAAAAAAGTGATTCAAACCGAACTGACAAGCCTGTTTAAGTGAGGTCGATATAAAGTTTATCGCGATGGCCTTAAAAACAGTCCTATCTATCAAATGTGTTATTTTATTCAAATGTTTTGCACAAACTCACTGTTGTTGTGTGAACGCTTGCGAAGCATTCACTCTATTGTGATCCGTTTTTCTTCCGTATGTTTTTCGGCACGATTCTCATCCCACATTTAAGCTACTTCAACAAATCAAATGTCAGAAACGGTTCAGCTCTTTCAGAAAAATCCTGCTGTGACTTTTGGTATTGGTGCAACTTTAGCTTTTTGAAACATTTAGCCTTTTCTGACATTATTTATCACAGAAAATGAATTTAGCTCAGTTTACATCCTTCATATCTTTAGATGTGTTTACAACCTTTTACTGCTCCTTTCACATTTTGTTCTGGTTCAGCTTCCTTGTACAAATATACACTTTATTTAAGCTACTTTCAGCTAATTTCAGCTATTTCAAAACAAAAGCTAAAAACAAAATGTTCTTTTTAGAAGTGCTCTTCTGTGAGATCTGATCTATGACAGGAGCTGAAACATGGAGTAGGATTGACTCTTAAAATCTGAGACAGCTGAAGTTAACCAGTAAACAGAAATACCTGCTCCAGCTGCAGAATCTGACAGAAACTGACAATCACTCATCTGCAGTGACTGCAGGTTGAACAAGAACAAGTGAAGTTAAAGGAAACATCCTTTGTCCCAAAGCCAGTTAAAGTATTGTTAATATTTTGACTACTTTATTTTTATTTCTTTATGAATCGATTGTAACTATTTTCACATTATTCAACAACCAAAATGGATTTTGTTTTTTAATGTAATGGCTAGGTATTAAAAAAAAAAAGGCTAGGTATTAAAAAAAAAAAAACAACAACAACATTTAGCCCTCCCCAGTACCCATTTATGTTGCTCTTATTTTGAAATGTAACCGGAAGTGTTAAGAAAGGCGGAAAGAGAAGTTATGGAGACGCCGCTGATGTCGAACCGGTTAACACCATACACAGAATATGTCTGTGGTTAACACAAACGGCTTGTTTTTTTTTTGGTTCAGCCTTTTTTTCCCCTGTCTAATCAGATGGCCCTCCAGACACACCCATTTTACTATTGTCCAATCAGATGTGACCCTCCAGATACGCCTATTTTACTATCATCCAATCAGCTGTGGCCCTCCGGATGGCCCATTTTACTATCGTCTAATCAGATGTGGCCCTCCAGATACGCCCATTTTTCTATCGTCCAATCATGTGTGACCCTCCAGATACGCCCATTGTTTTATCGTCCAATCAAATGTGGCCTTCCAGATACGCCTTCCAAATTTGTCTGCAGAGATACCTACTTGGATCAAATGAAAAATTAAATGAAAAATTAAATAATTAAATCTATAAACAATGACAAAAATATTAACAAAGTAGTGTAAAGGAGTGAGATGAGCCTAATCCAGTAACATTAAATAATAACTGATCATATTATTTTTTATTAATATTTGAATAATTACCCACCAAATTGTACATTTACAGAAAAATATGAAGGGAGTTTTTTGCTAAAATGAACCTTCACAGCTGTGAACTTCGATGGTTCTTTCGAGCATGAATGTAAGATTTTTGCCAGTGGTTTGAAACTGATGGTAGTTTTATGGTTTTTTAAATCCAGTTTACATAAATTGTTGGAAAATTTGTTTTTAGGATTTGCTTCTGCTCAAACTAGCCATTAGCTTGTTAATCTGGTTAGAATTCAAATATACATTTCTCCAGTTTGAGGTTGTTTAAAGAGCTTTCTAGAGCAGGTAAGTATGTCCATAACCTTTTCACTGAGCCCGACTTCAAACATTCAGAATTATCTCTTTAAACTGCACATTTGTGTTTAATTTTACTTCCATTTTTGACCCGAGAGTCTGAGAAATTACCGGCATTTTGAACGAAACCCGAACCACAGAGGTACCCAGAGGCATGCTCTCTCGTCATGCAACCATTTGTCAGATTTACCTCTGGAACACTGCATGTTAATGTGTCAGAGGAAGAAGAGTGGCAACTCTCGGCTTCCTCATCTTCCTCTTCCTCTGAGTAAGACACCTCAAAAGACTCCTGCTTTCAGTGATAAGGGTGAATATATGATGAAAACTGGGACGGCAAACAATTTATTTAGTTTAACAAACTTTTATCTGAGTGATAAAAGAATTTACAAATTGTTAGAACCTAGAACAGAAAATGCAGATTATCAGAAAATAGTAAACATGAAACATGATATCTCTGGGCCTGAAAGTCTATTAAATGTAGTTATTTAGCTTGAATATTGCCCACCATAGAAAGAAAAAGGCAAAATGGTTTATTTCTGTCTGGTTTTAATAAAACTCTTGAAAGTAACCAGTGGCTGTACATCTACAAAGCATTAACTTTAGGAGTCAAACAAATTCAAAATGGCCACCACAGAAAAAAAATAAACAAACAACAAAGCACATAAATGGCTACAACTCCATCAATTTAACAGACGCAGAGCTAAATTTGATGTGGTAGTAGCTGACCATCATCTCTAACATACTCTGAGGATGACATCTCATCATATACCCTGAGAACATGAATACAGTAGTCCCTCACTTATCGCAGGGTTTACGTTCCAGACACCCCCGTGACAGGTGAAAATCCAAGAAGTAGGAAGGTTATATTTATATATATATATATATTTTTTTTTTTTTAAGGCTTCATAAACCCTTCCCACACTGTCGCAGTGTTCTTAATGTTCTAAACTCTCTAAAAGAGCACAGCAAAAGAGAGCAGACAGACTGATGCTACGGTTACGGAGTCAATCAGCGCCCGAGGGCGGACTGGCTATCGGAAGCACCGGGACATTTCCTGGTGGCCTGGCCCGCTCAGTGATCACCAAGGGGGACTAGAGGCTCAGTTCGGGTCAAGCTTGATTATTTTAAATAAACAATCCCTGCCGCTCACTCTGGTATCCGCCTCACTAAAGCTCCCATAGCAGCGATGGGGAAAGACAGACCCCACCCCCTGCCCCCTCCTTTCTCTTTCTGAGGCTGTCTGCTGTGACAGACAGCCTCAGAAAGAGAAAGGAGGGGGGCTCTTCTGCGATCACTGAGCTGGCCAGGTCACCTGGAAATGTCCCGATGCTCCCGATGGCCAGTCCGCCCCTCAACACAATGCTCTGGTTGGTCGCCTTCCATCAATAAGCTAATCGTGTGTCATGCACAATCTTACGTTGAAAACCTGTGAAAGAGTCCGCAAAAGTCGAACCATGAAGTATCGAGGGACTACTGTAACGTTATTTACAGAGCTGTCAAAAACAGTTGCAACGTTGTCCCTTCTCATAAGATTGATTAACATGTTGGCATAAAAGGCCGTGGGCGATGTGGATTATTTTAAGGCTAAGCCCTAAATTCTGGTTTTGTTTTTGATCAGGACTTTAACGGGCAGGTTCAACTATTCTTAGATAACAGACAATAAGAAGAATCTGACTTCATGACATCCTTAAAGAATTCTTTAACTTCACCAGATTTTGCTTGCTCAAACGACTCGTTTTGAAATGAGTAAATTTTTAAAAATATAGTTTTGAACTTTTAGGTAACAGTTGGTTAAAAAGGTGTTTTGCATAAAATGATTAGAAGTGTAGTTTAATTTTCAGATCAAGTTTATTCTTGCACTGAAACAGATGATTGGCAGGATTTTACCTGACGATGCTGTGTGTTTTGTTACCTGGATGAAGCGTCGGCGTGCAGGTCCTTCCAGCTGCAGCGTCTCTTCAGTAAAATCAGAAACTAAAGTGATGCTAAGATGCTCAGCAGTTCTGTCTTCCTCCTTTATCTTGTTCTGTTTCAGCACAAGACACGAGCTTTCGTATTTTGTTGTTCTCTCCCCAGAACAGGTACTGCCTCTGTAAGCACTCGAACACCACACTTTAACCCTATTACTTTAAGACATCCTCCGTGTGGTTGAATTTTACCTCCAGAAGGGAGAGTTGCTCTTTGGTGTCTTCTTCCAGCTCCTCCAGCTGTTCAAGGAGCTGTGTGGCTTTGGAGAAAACCAGAAGCTTCTCTGCTCCTTCCAGGAGGTGGATCTCCTCTTTGAACCCGTTTATGTCCTGTAAGCTGCTCCGCATCGACTGGAGGCTGGCCAGGATTGTCTAAAATTGGAAAATGTTACACTTATACTGAACACCTGTGTCAGGAGGTAAATTCCCCTGAGGGCTGTGTTCTTTCACCCCTTTTATTCATTTTATATACAAACGATGGTTGCAGCCAGTTCCCACAGCGTCACATTTTAAAATTTGCTGATGACTCTGTCATCCTGTCTCTTCTCAGCAGTGATGACCCAGACCCCGGGCCTGTGGTCGGGGTCTTCACTGAATGGTGCGAGTCTTCCTTTTTAAAGTTCAATGTTTCTAAGACAAAGGAGATGGTCACTGGTTTTAAAAAAGACTCCAGTTGTCACTCCTGTGGTCATTAATGGTGAAGATGTTGAGGCGGTGCATCAATATAAATATCTGGGAACTGCTCTTGATGACAAACTGACCTTTGACCACCATGTGAACTCACTTTGTAAGAAGACCCACCAGAGAATGTTTTTTTTATCAGAAGCTCTGGTTTTAATGTTGATTTTACTTTTATGAGAATGTTTTATTGAGTCGCTCAACTTTACCTTCATCTGTTGGTTTGGACTTTTGACGTGAAAAACAGGAACAAACTCTTGGAGATTGTCAGGATGTGCAGCAAAACTGCTGGCATAGTCCTGCAGAACCTCACTGACCTACAGAACCTCACTGACCTACTGAACCCCACTGATCTACAGAAACCCACTGACCTACAGAACCTCACTGACCTACAGAACCTCACTGACCTACAAAACCTCACTGATCTACAAAACCTCACTGATCTACAGAACCTCACTGACCTACAGAACCTCACTGACCTACAGAACCTCACTGACGTACAAAACCTCACTGACCTACAGAACCTCACTGACCTACAGAACCTCACTGATCTACAGAACCCCACTGACCTACAGAACCTCACTGACCTACAGAACCTCACTGACCTACAAAACCTCACTGACCTACAAAACCTCACTGACCTACAGAACATCACTGACCTACAGAACCCCACTGACCTACAAAACCTCACTGACCTA